TTGCTGTGTTTAAAAAATAAAAATAGAATTACACGTGTTGTACAATTATAAAAGGAAAGATGGAAAAAAAGGGAAAGATAGAAATAGTTAGGAATTTTTTCCCCTTTTTAGGAGATTATGTTTCCTATTGTTCCTTTTTTTTGTATTATAAATAGAGGTCCATAGGTTTGTATAAACTATTAATCAATACAGAAATTCAATTCTGATTTCATGGTATCAGAGCTAGATTTTCCTCTAACCAAGCTGTCAATGACAGAAACCGCCCTCTACTGCAAGGGGTCGACAACCTCAGAATCTCTCAACAATGAAGCAGAAGCCATCACCACTATGAACACAGGTGGACTCGATAATTCTTCTCAACTCATAATAGAAAAATTGAATGGGAAAAATTTATCAAGAATAGGTTAAAGAATTATCAAGAGCATGATTCGATAGATTTGCAAAAATGTTGAAAGGTTAAGGGTATCGGCAGTCAGATCATACTATAATCTTCTTCTTATCTGAAGATGGGACGAAGATAATCTTAATTGTACATGTCGAAGACATAATTCTAAGCGGAGATAATATAGTTGAAATGGAAATATTAAAGACAAGTCTAGCTATAAAATTCGAAGTAAAAGATCTGGGACAAATGCGGTATTTCTTGAGAATGGAAGTCACTAGATCAAAGAAGGGTATCGATTTTTCTCAATGAAAATACGTTCTTGATCTCCTAACTCCAACTGACATGCTTGGATGTAAATAGAGGACGTTGGAAACTAGTTGAAAAGGACAACTATGAACAACTAGTAGGCAAGCTAATCTACCTATCACATACTAGACCTTGCATTTACAGTTAGCGTGGTAAGTCAATATATGCATGCTCCAAAGGAAGCTCACCTAGAAGCGATATATATAGAATCCTCAAATATCTCAAAGGCTCTCCAAGAAAATGATGGTTCGATAGATTTGTAAAAGCGTTAAAAAGTCAAAGGTATTAGCTGTAACGCTCCAAAATTTCATACATCTTGAGGTATTACCAAATATAATTTCATTTACTTAAACTACGAAACGTTAAAATTCTATTTTCTAAATAAGCAAAACATTTATAATTTAAATTCAAATCATAAATCGTGTCTGAAATTAATTTAAACCTTCTCAAACAAACTAATAAATTTAAAAAGCAGTAAAATTTAATATTTCCGTCGGTCGAAATCTCTTGACAGTCCGTTGCACCATCCCGCCACATCTCCAATCGACCCGAAC